ATCTGACTAGCCTCTGAGGCTAGTAACTGAACAGATGGGGGCTCAGAGGTTGTGGCAGAGCAGCTCTGCACCCGGGCCTCAGTTCTGCACCGTCATTTGAGCCGAGCAGAACAGTTTAGAGCCAGGGCCAAATTCTTAGCCAAAAGGGATGTACCCGCCAACGTTGGGTGGATATCATCCGAGCGGATGAGACCGGGCTTTCCCCAAAAGGCACTCCAATTGTCAACATGAACAACACCACTTGGAGGGCACCAGCCAGACAGCCAGCGGTTGAAAGCCGAGTGTCTGCTGAATGCTTCTGCACTGCTAGTGCTAGGTAGGGGCCCAGAGAAGATGACAGTGTCGGCCATTGTGCTAGCCAGCTTGCACACGGCGGCGACTTGCAGCTTCAACACCTCGGACTGTTTCCGCCGAACGTCATTACCACCCGCGTGAATAACAATTCGACGGAAACGCTGCTTGTGGGTCATCATGAGCCTCAGATTCCCTTCAATATCACCAAGCCTGGCCCCAGGGAAGCACCGAACAGTGGCTCCTGGGATCTTAACACCTCTAACAATAGAGGAGCCAATTACCAGCGCATCAGCGACTCCATCGGCTCTCTCAGCAGCTCTCTCAGCGGCTCTCTCAGTGGGGCCTTCTTCCCCGCCCGGCCGCGCGGGGGCGCAGCCGGACAGAGCGTCCCAGCGATTGTAAATGCTAACAGGAGGAGGCCCAATGGGGAAACTACCAACAACACGTGGCCCTCTCCGAACAGTCACAAAGCCATCACTATCCTGGTCTTGTCCCAGCTGCGGAGGACGGGCTGGGAGGCTAGGCTCGCTAGTTCTCCTCTGCCTTTCCCTAAAGCTGCGCTCCGCTGTCCCTGAGGATACGGCCTGGCTGTAGCTAATGCTAGCGCTAGCTCGAGACTCCAGTGCTCGGAGACGCAGCTCTAACTCACTGACCCTGGATTCCAGAGCTACGACTACACTACACTTCATACATCTATCACTACCCTCAGAGAAGGATCCAGGGTTTAGACTCGCCATATGGCAACTCGAGCAGTAAAGGACTGAGGGAGAGACAGCAGCCGCCATAGTAGCGAGTTAGCGGCTAGGCTAGGCTAAGCTAGGCTAGGCTAAGCTAGTACGGATCCGGGCCCGCACAACAGACTCCGAGACCAGACAAACAACCGCTACCTAAACCTCAGCTACAGTACAGCTGACTCGGAGTGCTTACACAGTTAGCTTGGTGTACAATACGTGGATTTGTAATGTGTTTGTTAGTGCAAACAGAGAGCAGAGTGATAGCAGTCAAGAAACACGCTCACCGGATACAGGAAGTCACCGCAGTAGTTGCAGCCTAGGGTAGTAGTTAAATTACATTACAGTAGTTACATTAAAAGCGGGCGGCCGCTTTCTGCTGTTACTTTATGCGGTTCATCCCCGCGGCTTCTCTTTCCAAAGTTACTGTCAGTAAAGGCATAAAGCGGCCACCCGCTTTTAATGTGCGGACCTCTTTACCTTTGACTCTGAAAAGCCGGGCCTCTTTAACGCGCTGTTCTACCGCTGCCCTCCCTCCCTCCTCTGCCCTCTCTCCCTCCGCTGCCCTCTCTCCCTCCTCTGCCCTCTCTCCCTCCGCTGCCCTCTCTCCCTCCTCTGCCCTCTCTCCCTCCGCTGCCCTCCCTCCCTCCTCTGCCCTCTCTCCCTCCGCCCTCTCCTCCTCTGCCCTCCTCCCTCTGCCCTCCCTCCCTCCTCTGCCCTCTCTCCCTCCGCTGCCCTCTCTCCCTCCGCTGCCCTCTCTCCCTCCTCTGCCCTCTCTCCCTCCGCTGCCCTCCCTCCCTCCTCTGCCCTCTCTCCCTCCGCTGCCCTCTCTCCCTCCTCTGCCCTCTCTCCCTCCGCTGCCCTCCCTCCCTCCTCTGCCCTCTCTCCCTCCGCTGCCCTCTCTCCCTCCGCTGCCCTCTCTCCCTCCTCTGCCCTCTCTCCCTCCTCTGCCCTCTCTCCCTCCTTTGCCCTCTCTCCCCTCCCTCTCTCCCTTTCTCCCTCCGCTGCCCTCTCTCCCTCCTCTGCCCTCCCTCCCTCCACTGCCCTCCCTCCCTCCGCTGCCCTCTCTCCCTCCGCTGCCCTCTCTCCCTCCTCTGCCCTCTCTCCCTCCTCTGCCCTCTCTCCCTCCTCTGCCCTCTCTCCCTCCGCTGCCCTCTCTCCCTCCGCTGCCCTCTCTCCCTCCGCTGCCCTCTCCCCCCTCTCTGCCCTCTCTCCCTCCTTTGCCCTCTCTCCCTCCGCTGCCCTCTCTCCCTCCGCTGCCCTCCCTCCCTCCACTGCCCTCCCTCCCTCCGCTGCCCTCTCTCCCTCCTCTGCCCTCTCTCCCTCCTCTGCCCTCTCTCCCTCCTCTGCCCTCCCTCCCTCCGCTGCCCTCTCTCCCTCCTCTGCCCTCTCTCCCTCCTCTGCCCTCTCTCCCTCCTCTGCCCTCCCTCCCTCCGCTGCCCTCTCTCCCTCCTTTGCCCTCCCTCCCTCCACTGCCCTCCCTCCCTCCGCTGCCCTCCCTCCCTCCTCTGCCCTCTCTCCCTCCTCTGCCCTCTCTCCCTCCTTTGCCCTCTCTCCCTCCTCTGCCCTCTCTCCCTCCGCTGCCCTCCCTCCCTCCACTGCCCTCCCTCCCTCCGCTGCCCTCTCTCCCTCCTCTGCCCTCTCTCCCTCCTCTGCCCTCCCTCCCTCCGCTGCCCTCTCTCCCTCCTTTGCCCTCCCTCCCTCCACTGCCCTCCCTCCCTCCGCTGCCCTCCCTCCCTCCTCTGCCCTCTCTCCCTCCTTTGCCCTCCCTCCCTCCACTGCCCTCCCTCCCTCCTCTGCCCTCTCTCCCTCCTCTGCCCTCTCTCCCTCCTCTGCCCTCTCTCCCTCCTTTGCCCTCTCTCCCTCCTCTGCCCTCTCTCCCTCCTTTGCCCTCTCTCCCTCCTTTGCCCTCTCTCCCTCCTCTGCCCTCTCTCCCTCCTTTGCCCTCTCCTCCCTCCTCTCCCTCTCTCCCTCCTCTGCCCTCTCTCCCTCCTCTGCCCTCTCTCCCTCCGCCCTCTCCTCTCTCCCTCCTCTCCCTCTCTGCCCTCTCTCCCTCCTCTGCCCTCTCTCCCTCCTCTGCCCTCTCTCCCTCCTTTGCCCTCTCTCCCTCCTCTGCCCTCTCTCCCTCCTCTGCCCTCTCTCCCTCCTTTGCCCTCTCTCCCTCCTCTGCCCTCTCTCCCTCCTCTGCCCTCTCTCCCTCCTCTGCCCTCTCTCCCTCCTCTGCCCTCTCTCCCTCCTCTGCCCTCTCTCCCTCCTTTGCCCTCTCTCCCTCCTTTGCCCTCTCTCCCTCCTCTGCCCTCTCTCCCTCTCTTCGCACCATCAGCCTGACCCCTGATACAAGTGACTTTTCTCCCCCTCCGGGTTTTTCTGTTGTGGATATTAACCACGTTTCATTTTAAAGCAGGTATTATTTATTTGTAGCCTCCAAACACCTTTAGTTTTAGCAAACAACAGCAGGACACGCTTTGTCGCTGCGCATGATGTGAGCTGTGTTACGTGATGATTTTGATTGACGCTGCAATGACTGGGACAAAATTACTAACGTTATTGGTCCACGTCCTGTAGCTAGCTTAGGTCCTAGATCATTAGTCTGTCCGTCCGGAGGAGCGGATCCCTTTCTCATATGGGTCTCCCTCCCTGTGGGTTTCCCTAGTTCTCCTCCAAGGTTTCTCACTTTTTCCCACTGGGTTTTTTAAGAGTTTTTCCTTGTCGATGCAGGAGGGTCTTGTTGGACAGTTAGTGTCCAACAGAAAGGATTGGTGATGATCAGGACACTTTAGCATTCTACAACATGTATGGACATTTTCTTCTGTGTGTGCTTTATATTCTTCATGTGTTTTAACTGTTGATTCTCTGACCTGTGTTGGTGATTTCAATGGTTTTGTTAAGTCCTCTGAGATGACTTCTGGTGTGACCTAGGGCTATACAAGAATACATTGTATTGTATTGTATTGTATTGTATTAAAATATATTATAGTCTCCAAACACAATTTAACAAGTAGTCCTTTTGAATCAAATCAAATGCTAAATAAATATTTAAGGGCTTTATATTTGCTCAAAAAAAAAAAATCTTTTTTGTTTGTTTGTGTGGAAATCATCTTTCAACCCCCCCAGGGGTTCCCGCGACCCCCCGGGGGGTCGGGACCCCCACTTTGGGAACCACTGGACTAGAGGACACCTGTGGTACTGCAGCCTACATCCACATGGACTAGAGGACACCTGTGGTACTGCAGCCTACATCCACATGGACTGTAGATTTCCCCACAGACCTCAGAGGCACTAAAACAGCTCGTCCTCAGAGACAGAGGACTACAGCTTTAACTATAATGATCCTGTCTTTCCCTGTCTCTTTGTGTGATGGACTCTCTGATGGTCTCTGATGGTGTCTGATGGTGTCTGATGGTGTCTGATGGACTCTCTGATGGTGTCTGATGGTCTCTGATGGTGTCTGATGGTGTCTGATGGTCTCTGATGGTCTCTGATGGTGTCTGATGGTCTCTGATGGTGTCTGATGGACTCTCTGATGGTCTCTCTGATGGTGTCTGATGGACTCTCTGATGGTCTCTCTGATGGTGTCTGATGGACTCTCTGATGGTCTGGGCGGCACGGTGGCTGAGTGGTTAGCACTCTTGCCTCTCAGCAAGAAGGTCCTGGGTTCGAATCCCGGTCGGACCAGGGCCTTTCTGAGTGGAGTTTGCATGTTCTCCCCGTGTCTGCGTAGGTTTCCTCCGGGTACTCCGGTTTCCCCTACCACTAAAAATATGTCCAATAGTTCTGGCATGTGCCTCCTGTACTGGTGACGCTCCCATCTCTGTGTGGAGTGAGATACAAATGCCCAAAAATTAACAATTGTAAACCGCTTTGAGACTCTGGTCTGCAGTGAAAAGGCGGTATATAAATAAAAACTTACTTACTTACTTACTCTCTGATGGTGTCTCTGATGGTCTTTGATGGTGTCTGCAGTGTAACCCGGTGATGATCGATGCCATAGAGGTCTCTGCCGCGCACAGAGCCAGATACTTCTGGGGGAACCTCCCGGGGATGAACCGCCCTCTGTGCGCCTCAGGCATGGACAAGCTGCAGCTGCAGGACTGTCTGGAGCACGGCCGCGAAGCTAAGGTAACCACCGGCCACGCCCACCACAGGCCACACCCATCAGAACCAGACCACTCCCACCTGCCCTGGCCACACCCACCAGAACCACATACCACACTCAACAGACCCAGACCACGCCCACAACCACCACAGACCATGCCCACCAGAACCAGACCACGCCCTGGGCCACGCCCACTGCCACAGACCACACCCACCAGAACCAGACCACGCCCACTGCCACAGACCACACCCACCAGAACCAAAGAGTATAGAAGAACCAAGAGGCCAAACCAAAGTGTGTGTGTCTGTTTCAACCAAGTCCTCTGGCTGTTGTGTGTGTTTGTGTGTGTGTGTCCTCTGGCTGTTGTGTTTGTGTGTGTCCTCTGGCTGTAGTGTGTGTGTGTGTGTGTGTGTGTCTCCTCTGGCTGTTGTGTGTGTTTTTGTGTCCTCTGGCTGTTGTGTGTGTCCTCTGACTGTTGTGTGTGTGTGTCCTCTGACTGTGTGTCCTCTGGCTGTTGTGTGTGTCCTCTGACTGTGTGTCCTCTGGCTGTTGTGTGTGTCCTCTGACTGTTGTGTGTGTGTACTCTGACTGTGTGTGTGTGTCCTCTGACTGTGTGTCCTCTGGCTGTTGTGTGTGTCCTCTGACTGTTGTGTGTGTCCTCTGACTGTTGTGTGTGTGTATGTCCTCTGACTGTGTGTCCTCTGGCAGTTGTGTGTCTCCTGGCTGTTGTGTGTGTTTTTGTGTCCTCTGGCTGTTGTGTGTGTCCTCTGGCTGTTGTGTGTGTCCTCTGACTGTTGTGTGTGTGTGTGTGTCCTCTGGCTGTTGTGTGTGTCCTCTGACTGTGTGTCCTCTGGCTGTTGTGTGTGTGTCCTCTGGCTGTTGTGTGTGTGTGTGTGTCCTCTGGCTGTTGTGTGTGTGTGTGTGTGTTTGTGTGGGTGTGTGTGTGTCCTCTGACTGTTGTGTGTGTGTGTGTGTGTCCTCTGACTGTGTGTCCTCTGACAGTTGTGTGTGTGTGTGTTTGTCACTGTGGGTTCCTGAGTGTTGTGTGTTTTTGTCGTGACAGTTTGGAAAGGTGCGCACCATCACCACTCGCTCCAACTCCATCAAACAAGGAAAAGACCAGCACTTTCCGGTCCTGATGAACGGCAAGGAGGATATCCTCTGGTGCACCGAGCTGGAGAGGTAACGGGACCGTAGACCCAGGACTGAGGCCGCAGACCCTGGACTGAGGCCGCGGACCCAGGACTGAGGCCGCGGACCCTGGACTGAGGCCGCGGACCCTGGACTGAGGCCGCGGACCCTGGACTGAGGCCGCGGACCCTGGACTGAGGCCGCGGACCCTGGACTAAAGGGGGAGACCAGTTCTTGTGGACTATCTGTGTTTGACAGATTACCATCTAGTTCTCTGCAGAAAGACTTGGTGTTCAGGCGGGTTTACTGTCTCCTGACACTCTGGCCCATGTCGCTCAACTTGACTGTATAGAGCTAAAGTTGGCTGGATGACACAGTGAAAGTACCTCATTGGCTTCTGTGTCTTAGCGGTAGAGGGCCGCAGTTTGGACAGGCCTGATTTAGCGATAACTCTGGCATAAACATTGCTAGCTAACGCGATGGCTAACTTATCTAGACTAATCTCTGCAAACTGTTTGTGTGGATTAACCCGTGTCTCCGTCAGGATCTTCGGCTTCCCGGTCCACTACACGGACGTGTCCAACATGGGACGCGGAGCTCGACAGAAGCTTCTGGGACGATCCTGGAGCGTTCCGGTCATCAGGCACCTGTTCGCTCCCCTCAAGGACTACTTCGCCTGCGAATGAGTCTCCAGGACCGGACTCTGGCCCCGGACTCTGGCCCCGGACTCTGGCCCCGGACTCTGGCCCCGGACTCTGGCCCCGGACTCTGGCCCCGGACTCTGGCCCCGGACTCTGGCCCCGGACTCTGGCCCCGGACTCTGGCCCCGGACTCTGGCCCGTGTGTAACCGGTGCTGTTAGTTTTGTTACTTGAAAAACCAAAAATGTTGAAACCGGATGTTGTTTTTAGATATACTTAGTTTTTACTGATTTTAGTGTTTTTAAAGGTTTATAACTTCATAGTAAGTTACTGTAAAAGAGAAACGTGTTTTTAGCGTGACGCAGCTGCAAATGTGGAGCTACTGATAGATTACATACGTGTTTACTGTTGTGACAGACAGGCCGCATCCCATTTCTATCAAAATACCTCCTGTTTCCTCCTCTTTAGGTTGTGATTGTGCAGCGTTAGGTTCGTTCTTAGACTTTATCACCTTTTAAAGATTTGACGTCACTTAAGTCACATTTAATCCATAAAGAAGAAGGAATGAGAAAGGAGGTACTTTTTATTGTTATTTGGATGCGCCCACTTCTCTTCAGCTCAGTTTCATTTTGTTCAGATATGAGTAAATCATGACTTAAACTCCTTTTTATCCGGGGGTGTCCAAACTTAAGGCCCACATGCAAATACAGAATGAGGGAAGCGCTAACGTTAGCATTGAACGATATTAGCACTGAGCAAAACCAACACTTTTGTAACACATCTTAACACTGTGTCTTTGTGTGTCCTTTAGCAAAGACACACACACAGAAATACGCACACGGACACACACAGACGCACAGAGACACACACAGAAAGACGCACACTGACACACACAGACGCACAGAGAGACACACACAGAAAGACGCACACACACACAGAGAGACACAGAGCCCCAAACACTCTCCGACCCCACACCTTGTGTTTGGACGCTAAAGTCAGATTCTCACGTTCCTCCATTTTGTTTTTGACGACTTTGAACCAAATCTTCCCAAACTCTTCCCAAACTGCACTGAACTGTTTTTAAGTTGGAGCCAAATCATTCTTTCACTGGATTTACCTCAGACTCTTTTGTAAATGCCCGATTTTTAACCAAAACCAATAATGTCACGTTTTAGAACAGAGTTTTAGAGTTGTTTACACTGTTTTTAAAATACATAAAAAACACTGACGTCGCTGGTTTTAGTTTCACTTATTTTTGTGAGAGTTGATGTGAAATTTGGCACAAAAACATGTTTATTTCTGTATTTGTCAAAGTTTGTAGAAAACGTTTTGTATTATATTCAATTTGTGTAGTTTTTATTAAAACAAATACTGGACATTGTCACATTCTTTGTGTTTTCCACATTCATGACTTTGAGAGCAGTCATTTTGATTCACACCAATGAGATTCTGAAAAAGTTTTATTAAGGTTGTTAGTTTCTAAAACTGGTGAATGTAACAGTTTGTTGAAACGCTAATGCTAACTTTTTTTTTTTATGTTTATTAAATATTTCTCTAACCACACACACCAGACTCATTCTAATGTGGACCCCCCTGTGGCACCTGGTTAGTGCGGTGATGGGAGACCTCTGGGAACACCCCAGAGGTCCCCCATCACTGCACTAACCAGGCCCTGCCCTGCTCAGCTTGAGGTCTAACATGTTTTGCCTTTTACCTGCAGGGGGCACTAAGCAGAACTTTACCCCTGAGTGTAAAACCTTAAACAAAGACAAGACTCTAACATTAAACTGTTTAATCGTAATAAGTAATGTTCCCGGTGAAGTACGCGGCGACGATCGCCATGGCAACGCCGAGGATGAAGAGGAGGACGAGGAATGAGCGGAGGCGGGGCTGCATCAGGGAAACAAACAGGATTCAGTGTCTTTGATGCAGTAAAACCACATTGGAATAACTTAAATACTGGACATGGTTCAGACCAAATGTTTTATTTGCTGCAAACTTTAAAATAAACCTTTTAGATGTTTTCATAAGTTTGGTCTTTGCTTCTGTTACATTTAGTCTGATGGTTTATTGAACAGTCACTAAACTCTATATTATTAATATTATTATTATGATAATGATAAAGAGCACAGGACTCACAGAGTGGGTCTCTGCAGGGGGCTGGAGCCTGGACTCTTCTGCTCGGGGCTGGAGCCTGGACTCTTCTGCTCGGGGCTGGAGCCTGGACTCTTCTGCTCGGGGCTGGAGCCTGGACTCTTCTGCTCCTGGATCCTGTGGAGACAACGTCAAAAGAACTTTGTGTCTGTTCAAAACCACACTTTTTACTTTGTTTTAGGTCAATCTTTAGTAGAAACTATTTGGTGAAACAAATGCTCTCTGTGCTGCCAGCAGAGGGAGCAGCGTCTACAGTCAGAGCTCCCTGTAACTCTCTGTGCTGCCAGCAGAGGAGGAGGAGGAGGATGTGGAAGAGGAAGGAGGAAGAAGAGGAGGAGGAGAAAGGGGAGGACTCACATATTTACACTTGAGAACCGATCTCATGACCTCCTCGGGGCCTGCTTGGATCCACTGCAGACAGGACACATCAGTTGATCGTGTTTTTATGAAACATTTAGCGAGTTAAGTGTCGTTTTTAAAATTAGATGAAGACAGAAGTGAAACTCACCGCGGAGAAGAAGTCCAGGCTGGGGTCCGCGCAGAACATGGACAGCACCATGAGAGACTCCTGAGTCCTGGGCTCTGCCTCAAGGCCCCGCATCGTCACTGGACACACACACACACACACACACACAAAGGTCACACAAACTCACCAACACAGACACAGGTCACACACACACACGTTTGAGAAGAGACACACAGTTACACACACAGACACAGGTCACACACACACACAGGTCACACAAACTCACCAACACAGACACAGGTCACACACACACACGTTTGAGAAGAGACACACAGTTACACACACAGACACAGGTCACACACACACACAGGTCACACAAACTCACCAACACAGACACAGGTCACACACACACACGTTTGAGAAGAGACACACAGTTACACACACAGACACAGGTCACACACACACACAAAGGTCACACAAACTCACCAACACAGACACAGGTCACACACACACACGTTTGAGAAGAGACACACAGTTACACACACAGACACAGGTCACACACACACACAGGTCACACAAACTCACCAACACAGACACAGGTCACACACACAGGTCACACACACACACAGGTCACACAAACTCACCAACACAGACACAGGTCACACACACAGGTCACACACACACACAGGTCACACAAACTCACCAACACAGACACAGGTCACACACACACACGTTTGAGAAGAGACACACAGTTACACACACAGACACAGGTCACACAAACACACACAGGTCACACACACACACGTTTGAGAAGAGACACAGTTACACACACAGACACAGGTCACACAAACACAAACACACACACACACACACAGACACACACACAGACCCAGGATGGTGGTGGAGGCCCCAGGGACGAGGAGTCCCCTGGAGGGCCTCACATGGCACCGTCCCAGAGCCGAGGTCATGGTCTTGAAGTAGACCGGTCTCTCAGACGGGTTCCACAGCTGCAGTGTGGCCTCGAGCCCCTCCCGGTCTGAGGACACGGAACACAGCCTCAATGAGAACCTACAACTTGATCCCACATCCAAGAGACGTACAGCTGCATCACAACTGTATATATATATACTGTATATACTGTATATATACATATATATGTACTTCCTGCTCTGGTGAAGCATCCACAGAGCCTTGTGTTGTGTATGTGGTGTGTTCCCTGTGGGCTCTTACTACTGTCATGTGCGCTGCAACATTGAAATTTCCCCACTGTGGGACTTATCTTATCTTCAAGTTAGGTACCCCAGCTTTAACCTTTAACATAACTCTGTGGTGACACTGATTATGTAATTTTCACACACAAAATGTCTTATCCATTCTTAGCTGTATGAATGAATGAATATTTCAATACTAGCTAACCCCAACCACGAGCTAACGTTAGAACATTAGAACGTTAGAACATTAGTACGTTAGAACATTAGAACGTTAGAACGTTAGAACATTAGTACGTTAGAACATTAGAACATTAGAACGTTAGAACATTAGTACGTTAGAACATTAGAACGTTAGAACGTTAGAACATTAGTACGTTAGAACATTAGAACGTTAGAACGTTAGAACATTAGTACGTTAGAACATTAGTACGTTAGAACATTAGAACGTTAGAACATTAGTACGTTAGAAGATTAGAACGTTAGTATGTTAGAACATTAGTACGTTAGAACATTAGAACGTTAGAACATTAGTACGTTAGAACATTAGAACGTTAGAACGTTAGAACATTAGAACGTTAGAACGTTAGAACATTAGTACGTTAGAACATTAGAACGTTAGAACGTTAGAACATTAGTACGTTAGAACATTAGTACGTTAGAACATTAGAACGTTAGAACATTAGTACGTTAGAAGATTAGAACGTTAGTATGTTAGAACATTAGTACGTTAGAACATTAGAACGTTAGAACGTTAGAACATTAGTACGTTAGAACATTAGAACGTTAGAACGTTAGAACATTAGTACGTTAGAACATTAGAACGTTAGAACATTAGAGCGTTAGAACATTAGTACGTTAGAACATTAGAACGTTAGAACATTAGTACGTTAGAACATTAGAACGTTAGAACGTTAGAACATTAGTACGTTAGAACATTAGAACGTTAGAACATTAGTATGTTAGAAGATTAGAACGTTAGAACGTTAGTATGTTAGAACATTAGTACGTTAGAACATTAGTACGTTAGAAGATTAGAACGTTAGAACGTTAGTATGTTAGAACATTAGTACGTTAGAACATTAGAACGTTAGAACGTTAGAAGAATTAGTACGTTAGAACATTAGAACGTTAGAACATTAGAGCGTTAGAACGTTAGTACGTTAGAACATTAGTACGTTAGAACATTAGAACGTTAGAACGTTAGTATGTTAGAACATTAGTACGTTAGAACATTAGAACGTTAGAACGTTAGAACATTAGTACGTTAGAACATTAGAACGTTAGAACATTAGAACATTAGTACGTTAGAACATTAGAACGTTAGAACATTAGTACGTTAGAACGTTAGAACATTAGTACGTTAGAACATTAGAACGTTAGAACATTAGAGCGTTAGAACGTTAGTACGTTAGAACATTAGAACGTTAGAACATTAGAACATAAAACACAATCACTGCTTAAAACAGGTAGAAAGAGACAAGTTTAGTTGTTTTAATTGTTTATATTTTTCTGTATGTGTCTTTACACATTTTTTTTTTTTCTGTATGTGTCTTTGAGGGGCGACAGTAGCTCAGTCGGTAGAGCATTGGCCTTAAGGCCAGAAGGTCGTGGGTTCAATTCCCACCTCTACACCTTCTCCACCGACTCCCACTGATGACTGCTGTCGTTGTGTCCTTGGGCAAGACACTTAACCCCACTTTGCCCAAAGCCCCCACTGAAAGATCAAGGCTATGCTCACAGTCAGAGAGCAGCCTCCTGTGGACTCACCACCTGCAGAGGGTCAGTGAGGGGCTGGTGCATCTCTGACTGCCACCCCCCTGACCCAGAAATGGATTAAAGGGAAGAACATGGATGGATGTGTCTTTATTATGTCTTTACAGCACTTTGTTAAGCCTTGGCTGTTTTAAATGTGCTATACAAATGTGACTGATTTAACGTTAACCAATTATTCATAACCGTTGATACAAACTGACACCAGTCACTTAAAAAGTACTGAGGCGTCAGTGGCTGATCCCCCTGGCGTCAGTAGGTGATCCCCCCGGTGTCAGTAGCTGATCCCCCGGGCGTCAGTGGCTGATCCCCCTGGCGTCAGTAGGTGATCCCCCCGGTGTCAGTAGCTGATCCCCCGGGCGTCAGTGGCTGATCCCCCTGGCGTCAGTAGGTGATCCCCCCGGTGTCAGTAGCTGATCCCCCGGGCGTCAGTGGCTGATCCCCCTGGCGTCAGTAGGTGATCCCCCTGGCGTCAGTAGCTGATCCCCCGGGCGTCAGTGGCTGATCCCCCTGGCGTCAGTAGGTGATCCCCCCGGTGTCAGTAGCTGATCCCCCGGGCGTCAGTGGCTGATCCCCCTGGCGTCAGTAGGTGATCCCCCCGGTGTCAGTAGCTGATCCCCCGGGCGTCAGTGGCTGATCCCCCTGGCGTCAGTAGGTGATCCCCCTGGCGTCAGTAGCTGATCCCCCGGGCGTCAGTGGCTGATCCCCCTGGCGTCAGTAGCTGATCCCCCGGGCGTCAGTGGCTGATCCCCCTGGCGTCAGTAGCTGATCCCCCCGGTGTCAGTAGCTGATCCCCCCGGTGTCAGTAGCAGACCCCTCGGTGTCTGTCGCTTACCTCGAGGCCGGGGTCTGAAGAAGAGATCGGTGTCCGGCTGGAGCTCCAGGACTTGGGGCAGGGGTGGGGAGTCAGGTTCCGAAGAGCTGTCCATGCTTCTGCCTCCGGGGAAAGGTGTCACTGGGCTGGGCAGGGGGGTCGGTAGAATGGCGTGATGAGAAAAGCTATTTAAACTCAACTATTTCAATTCTCCTTTTTAGAAACAAAAAATACGTAAGAAACGTATTTGTTTGTTTTTAAATAGAGGACGTTTGAAAACAACGTGACGAAGGCGTTTCTGAACGTTGTGACGTCCTTCGCCACGCCCTTTTTTACACGACTAATGTATCTTTTAGTCGAACTAATAATGAAGAATGCATTTGACCCTAGTAATGAGATACAGTGTTTATATTTAATAATAAACCAAAATATAAAATTTAAAAAATCGTGTTCAAGCTAATGCTATCGCGAGAGGAAGCTAGCAGCAAAGCTACCCAGTGACATTTGTTCCAGAACATTCCAGTTAACGTTAGCACTAATCAAAATAAAATTATCTGACGCTAGAAATAATTTTAGGTTTAATCTTAGGTGCAACAAGAGTAAACTATCTCCAAATGTTTAAAGCAGAAGGCATTAGAAACAAGCCACAGCAAGAAAACTACAACCAAACTACTGCCTAAAAAAACTACTGACTAAAGAGCTTAAACTACAGCTTAAAGAGCTTAAACTACTGCTTAAAGAGCTTAAACTACTGACTAAAGAGCTTAAACTACTGCTTAAAGAGCTTAAACTACTGCTTAAAGAGCTTAAACTACTGCTTAAAGAGCTTAAACTACTGCTTAAAGAGCTTAAACTACTGCTTAAAGCGCTTAAACTACTGCTTAAAGAGCTTAAACTACTGCTTAAAGAGCTTAAACTACTGCTTAAAGAGCTTAAACTACTGCTTAAAGAGCTTAAACTACTGCTTAAAGAGCTTAAACTACTGCTTAGAGCTTAAACTACTGCTTAAAGAGCTTAAACTACTGCTTAAAGAGCTTAAACTACTGCTTAAAGCGCTTAAACTACTGCTTAAAGAGCTTAAACTACTGACTAAAGAGCTTAAACTACTGCTTAAAGCGCTTAAACTACTGCTTAAAGAGCTTAAACTACTGCTTAAAGAGCTTAAACTACTGCTTAAAGAGCTTAAACTACTGACTAAAGAGCTTAAACTACTGCTTAAAGAGCTTAAACTACTGCTTAAAGCGCTTAAACTACTGCTTAAAGAGCTTAAACTACTGCTTAAAGAGCTTAAACTACTGACTAAAGAGCTTAAACTACTGCTTAAAGAGCTTAAACTACTGCTTAAAGAGCTTAAACTACTGCTTAAAGAGCTTAAACTACTGACTAAAGAGCTTAAACTACTGCTTAAAGAGCTTAAACTACTGACTAAAGAGCTTAAACTACTGCTTAAAGAGCTTAAACTACTGACTAAAGAGCTTAAACTACTGCTTAAAGCGCTTAAACTACTGCTTAAAGAGCTTAAACTACTGCTTAAAGAGCTTAAACTACTGACTAAAGAGCTTAAACTACTGCTTAAAGAGCTTAAACTACTGCTTAAAGAGCTTAAACTACTGACTAAAGAGCTTAAACTACTGCTTAAAGAGCTTAAACTACTGCTTAAAGCGCTTAAACTACTGCTTAAAGAGCTTAAACTACTGACTAAAGAGCTTAAACTACTGCTTAAAGCGCTTAAACTACTGCTTAAAGAGCTTAAACTACTGCTTAAAGAGCTTAAACTACTGACTAAAGAGCTTAAACTACTGCTTAAAGAGCTTAAACTACTGCTTAAAGAGCTTAAACTACTGCTTAAAGAGCTTAAACTACTGACTAAAGAGCTTAAACTACTGCTTAAAGAGCTTAAACTACTGCTTAAAGCGCTTAAACTACTGCTTAAAGAGCTTAAACTACTGCTTAAAGAGCTTAAACTACTGACTAAAGAGCTTAAACTACTGCTTAAAGAGCTTAAACTACTGCTTAAAGAGCTTAAACTACTGCTTAAAGAGCTTAAACTACTGACTAAAGAGCTTAAACTACTGCTTAAAGAGCTTAAACTACTGACTAAAGAGCTTAAACTACTGCTTAAAGCGCTTAAACTACTGCTTAAAGAGCTTAAACTACTGACTAAAGAGCTTAAACTACTGCTTAAAGCGCTTAAACTACTGCTTAAAGAGCTTAAACTACTGCTTAAAGAGCTTAAACTACTGACTAAAGAGCTTAAACTACTGCTTAAAGAGCTTAAACTACTGCTTAAAGAGCTTAAACTACTGACTAAAGAGCTTAAACTACTGCTTAAAGAGCTTAAACTACTGCTTAAAGCGCTTAAACTACTGCTTAAAGAGCTTAAACTACTGACTAAAGAGCTTAAACTACTGCTTAAAGCGCTTAAACTACTGCTTAAAGAGCTTAAACTACTGCTTAAAGAGCTTAAACTACTGACTAAAGAGCTTAAACTACTGCTTAAAGAGCTTAAACTACTGACTAAAGAGCTTAAACTACTGCTTAAAGCGCTTAAACTACTGCTTAAAGAGCTTAAACTACTGCTTAAAGAGCTTAAACTACTGACTAAAGAGCTTAAACTACTGCTTAAAGAGCTTAAACTACTGCTTAAAGAGCTTAAACTACTGCTTAAAGAGCTTAAACTACTGACTAAAGAGCTTAAACTACTGCTTAAAGAGCTTAAACTACTGCTTAAAGCGCTTAAACTACTGCTTAAAGAGCTTAAACTACTGCTTAAAGAGCTTAAACTACTGCTTAAAGAGCTTAAACTACTGACTAAAGAGCTTAAACTACTGCTTAAAGAGCTTAAACTACTGCTTAAAGAGCTTAAACTACTGCTTAAAGAGCTTAAACTACTGCTTAGAGCTTAAACTACTGCTTAAAGAGCTTAAACTACTGCTTAAAGAGCTTAAACTACTGCTTAAAGCGCTTAAACTACTGCTTAAAGAGCTTAAACTACTGACTAAAGAGCTTAAACTACTGCTTAAAGCGCTTAAACTACTGCTTAAAGAGCTTAAACTACTGCTTAAAGAGCTTAAACTACTGCTTAAAGAGCTTAAACTACTGACTAAAGAGCTTAAACTACTGCTTAAAGAGCTTAAACTACTGCTTAAAGCGCTTAAACTACTGCTTAAAGAGCTTAAACTACTGCTTAAAGAGCTTAAACTACTGACTAAAGAGCTTAAACTACTGCTTAAAGAGCTTAAACTACTGCTTAAAGAGCTTAAACTACTGCTTAAAGAGCTTAAACTACTGACTAAAGAGCTTAAACTACTGCTTAAAGAGCTTAAACTACTGACTAAAGAGCTTAAACTACTGCTTAAAGCGCTTAAACTACTGCTTAAAGAGCTTAAACTACTGACTAAAGAGCTTAAACTACTGCTTAAAGCGCTTAAACTACTGCTTAAAGAGCTTAAACTACTGCTTAAAGAGCTTAAACTACTGACTAAAGAGCTTAAACTACTGCTTAAAGAGCTTAAACTACTGCTTAAAGAGCTTAAACTACTGACTAAAGAGCTTAAACTACTGCTTAAAGAGCTTAAACTACTGCTTAAAGCGCTTAAACTACTGCTTAAAGAGCTTAAACTACTGACTAAAGAGCTTAAACTACTGCTTAAAGCGCTTAAACTACTGCTTAAAGAGCTTAAACTACTGCTTAAAGAGCTTAAACTACTGACTAAAGAGCTTAAACTACTGCTTAAAGAGCTTAAACTACTGCTTAAAGAGCTTAAACTACTGCTTAAAGAGCTTAAACTACTGACTAAAGAGCTTAAACTACTGCTTAAAGAGCTTAAACTACTGCTTAAAGCGCTTAAACTACTGCTTAAAGAGCTTAAACTACTGCTTAAAGAGCTTAAACTACTGACTAAAGAGCTTAAACTACTGCTTAAAGAGCTTAAACTACTGCTTAAAGAGCTTAAACTACTGCTTAAAGAGCTTAAACTACTGACTAAAGAGCTTAAACTACTGCTTAAAGAGCTTAAACTACTGACTAAAGAGCTTAAACTACTGCTTAAAGGCTTAAACTACTGCTTAAAGAGCTTAAACTACTGCACTAAAGAGCTTAAACTACTGCTTAAAGAGCTGTAAACTACTGCTTAAAGAGCTTAAACTACTGCTTAAAGAGCTTAAACTACTGACTAAAGAGCTTAAACTACTGCTTAAAGAGCTTAAACTACTGCTTAAAGCTTAAACTCCTGACTTAAAGAGCTTAAACTACTGCTTAAAGCAGACTTAAACTACTGCTTAAAGAGCTTAAACTACTGCTTAAAGAGCTTAAACTACTGACTAAAGAGCTTAAACTACTGCTTAAAGCGCTTAAACTACTGCTTAAAGAGCTTAAACTACTGCTTAAAGAGCTTAAACTACTGACTAAAGAGCTTAAACTACTGCTTAAAGAGCTTAAACTACTGCTTAAAGAGCTTAAACTACTGCTTAAAGAGCTTAAACTACTGACTAAAGAGCTTAAACTACTGCTTAAAGAGCTTAAACTACTGCTTAAAGCGCTTAAACTACTGCTTAAAGAGCTTAAACTACTGCTTAAAGAGCTTAAACTACTGCTTAAAGAGCTTAAACTACTGACTAAAGAGCTTAAACTACTGCTTAAAGAGCTTAAACTACTGCTTAAAGCGCTTAAACTACTGCTTAAAGAGCTTAAACTACTGCTTAAAGCGCTTAAACTACTGACTAAAGAGCTTAAACTACTGCTTAAAGAGCTTAAACTACTGCTTGAAGAGCTTAAACTACTGCCTAAAGAGCTTAAACTACTGCTTAAAGAGCTTAAACTACTGCTTAAAGAGCTTAAACTACTGCTTGAAGAGCTTAAACTACTGACTAAAGAGCTTAAACTACTGCTTAAAGAGCTTAAACTACTGCTTAAAGAGCTTAAACTACTGCTTAAAGAGCTTAAACTAAGGCTTACACAAAGTTAATGTTCAGATTAGTGTTTTATTGTCGATAGTAGAAGACGCATAGACAGACATTCACACAGTTCAAGTGATATTATAGATTTATTATAGAATCATAGTTCACTCAACAGCTGCTAACGCGTCAGTAGCTTCGGCCTTGAGATAACGAACAATGTAGTGGAGAAATACCAAGCATGTGTTATAACGATGAATTCAGCTTTTATCACCGTAGTTTCAAAGTGTTATAAAATATCCAAAAAGCTTTCGTTGTTTAACTAATGCTAGAACGGGAGCTAGCTAGCGGCTAAGCTAGCAAGTGTCATTTTGTTCCAGAACATTCCAGTTAACGTTAGCGCTAATAGCTAACGCGCTTTTTAGAGCTTAGCTAAATCTTAATGTGGCTCTAAAATGACTTTCTTATTATTACTGAGTCTGATCAGTTGATAATGCACAGTTGGACATGGTTAGAGCAGGACAGAGACGGGCCGTGGGGGAGGGACATGTCCGGTCAGGAGCCGCCATGTGGGGCTCCTCGGGCGGCAGCAGTGCACGGTAAGCAGCGGGTCAGACTCTGGTTCTCATGTTCTGTTATGATCATTCTCTGCTGTTCTAATGCTCATAAAACCTCTCAGCAAGAAGGTCCTGGGTTCGGATCCCGGTCGGACCAGGGCCTTTCTGAGTGGAGTTTGCATGTTCTCCCCGTGTCTGCGTAGGTTTCCTCCGGGTACTCCGGTTTCCCCTACCACTAAAAATATGTCCAATAGTTCTAGCATGTGCCTCCTGTACTGGCCCCGCTCCCATCTCTGTGTGGAGTGAGAGACAAATGCCCAAAAATAACAATTGTAAACCGCTTTGAGACTCAGATCTGCAGTGAAAAGGCGGTATATAAATAAAAACTTACTTACTTACTAAACTTACTTACAGTAAAGGTGTAGTAACGGTGTAATAACTGTGCACGTGAGGGAACTGGGCCCGTCACGTGATCACACTCATTCATTCAAACAGGCTTCCCAAAAATCCGCCATGTTTGAAACCAGCTCAACCCCAAATCAGCTGTTCTCATGTAAACCACGGTTCATTGTTTGCTGCTGTAGAAAGCTGCGCATCTCAGAGCGTCTGTGCACGACCCCCACGGCCTTCGTGGCTCTTGCTTTAAGGCTATTTCCACGCATTTGCATTGTACAGGTAATGATGCATTTACTCTACTAATGTCACATTTTCTGAGTTTCTTTTGCCAACAATGGAAAGAGCATTACTTTTCATTCTTTTGTTTGTTAGTTTTTCCAGTGACGATGTTGTTTTGGTATCATTGTGGTGACTAGGCTCAGAGTACATGTTTGCTTATGGCGTGCACTACTAGTTAATAACTTATAACACAGTTTACCAGTGGATCTAATGGCAACACTTGTATGTGCGTGGTCTGTGTTCACATAAGTTCCTTTGGTGTCTGTGCAGTGAAAGTCCACAGAATCCGCATTTGGGTGTCCTCAAGATTAAGCCGATTCAAAAACAGCCTTTTGATTCGTGCAAAGTTTATCCCACATCTTTATCATATATTCTGCACGTTTAATCTACGTTGAGACACATGTTAGCTGCGAATGGATGGGTTTAAGGTTTGTTTTTGCTTCTTTTCTCCATGTGGGTGAACACAGCGTGGAACTAGCGCGGGAGGCTAAAAACAAACAAAAACCAACGTGCTCCAGTAGTGTTAGCTGATCATGCTCAGTAAACTTGTGATTGTATATTATATAGTTTCAATGACGGTGGACCCAATGAATGGAGTGTCATGGAGTATTTCCCAGTAAACATATGCCCGTTTACACCGGCCCTATTCGGCTCTAGCCGTGTACTTATTTGGGTACCTGCTTGGCCTTGGTTCTATCCAGGCCGAGCTGGTACTGAAGTGTTCTAACCAGTGATTGCTGCTGGAAGCCATGGCTACCAAGGAATTTCCATGGGTAGTGGTTTGGTGTGGGTAGGTTGATCGGGAACGGCACCAGTAAGATACTAAAGCATAATGGAAACACAACCAGATGGAGTCGAGTCAAATAGGGCTGGTAAAAACAGGAGACATTAGATGGAAGGTGGATATTCCTGTAGATCTGATTGTACCTGCGGGTCAGGATTGTATGAGCTACTGCTTGGGTTTGATTCAGCTTTACCCACGAGTTTTCAGAACCTGGAGCAGCTGGTATCTGGCAAATACCAAGTTATTACTACTGAGAGACGTAATATGCTGCATGCGTCTGTACCTGTGTCATTTTTGTTTCTGGAAAAGTGGTGTAAAGTAAAGTCTCTCCAAGGCCTCACACCAAAGTCTGCACATCTGTGACAAGTTAGTGTCACATCATCAAACTCAGGGAGCACAGGGACTGGCCTCCTGCTGGGACTCACAGGAGCACAGGGACTGGCCTCCTGCTGGGACTCTGAGGAGCACAGGGACTGACCTCCTGCTGGGACTCTGGTGAGCACAGGGACTGGACTCCTGCTGGGACTCTGAGGAGCACAGGGACTGGCCTCCTGCTGGGACTCACAGGAGCACAGGGACTGGCCTCCTGCTGGGACTCTGAGGAGCACAGGGACTGGCCTCCTGCTGGGACTCTGGTGAGCACAGGGACTGGACTCCTGCTGGGACTCTGAGGAGCACAGGGACTGGCCTCCTGCTGGGACTCTGAGGAGCACAGGGACTGGCCTCCTGCTGGGACTCTGAGGAGCACAGGGAATGGCCTCCTGCTGGGACTCTGAGGAGCACAGGGACTGGCCTCCTGCTGGGACTCTGAGGAGCACAGGGACTGGCCTCCTGCTGGGACTCTGGTGGAGCACAGGGACTGGCCTCCTGCTGGGACTCTGAGGAGCACAGGGACTGGCCTCCTGCTGGGACTCTGAGGAGCACAGGGACTGGACTCCTGCTGGGACTCTGAGGAGCACAGGGATGGCCTCCTGCTGGGACTCTGAGGAGCACAGGGACTGGCCTCCTGCTGGGACTCTGAGGAGCACAGGGAATGGCCTCCTGCTGGGACTCTGAGGAGCACAGGGACTGGCCTCCTGCTGGGACTCTGAGGAGCACAGGGACTGGCCTCCTCTGCTGGGACTCTGAGGAGCACAGGGACTGGCCTCCTGCTGGGACTCTGGTGAGCACAGGGACTGGACTCCTGCTGGGACTCTGAGGAGCACAGGGACTGGCCTCCTGCTGGGACTCTGAGGAGCACAGGGACTGGCCTCCTGCTGGGACTCTGAGGAGCACAGGGACTGGCCTCCTGCTGGGACTCTGAGGAGCACAGGGACTGGCCTCCTGCTGGGACTCTGAGGAGCACAGGGACTGGCCTCCTGCTGGGACTCTGGTGAGCACAGGGACTGGCCTCCTGCTGGGACTCTGAGGAGCACAGGGACTGGCCTCCTGCTGGGACTCTGAGGAGCACAGGGACTGGACTCCTGCTGGGACTCTGAGGAGCACAGGGATTGGCCTCCTGCTGGGACTCTGAGGAGCACAGGGACTGGCCTCCTGCTGGGACTCTGAGGAGCACAGGGACTGGCCTCCTGCTGGGACTCTGAGGAGCACAGGGACTGGCCTCCTGCTGGGACTCTGAGGAGCACAGGGACTGGCCTCCTGCTGGGACTCTGAGGAGCACAGGGACTGGCCTCCTGCTGGGACTCTGGTGAGCACAGGGACTGGCCTCCTGCTGGGACTCTGAGGAGCACAGGGACTGGCCTCCTGCTGGGACTCTGGGGAGCACAGGGACTGGCCTCCTGCTGGGACTCTGAGGAGCACAGGGACTGGCCTCCTGCTGGGACTCTGAGGAGCACAGGGACTGGCCTCCTGCTGGGACTCTGAGGAGCACAGGGACTGGCCTCCTGCTGGGACTCTGAGGAGCACAGGGACTGGCCTCCTGCTGGGACTCTGAGGCTTCTCTGACAATGTTCAACTCCAGGTTAAAACAGTTCTGTTTAGCTGCGCATACAACTGAAGGATTGTATCTTATGTTAAAGGCGGTGTTCTTGATTTCTCAGATAATTAAATTAGAGATGCCCATAGATCTGGCCAATGAGAAACATGGGAAAATATTTGCTTTACTTCAGTGTAAGATTGTTCTATTACTAATATGTCTTGTATTGTCTTATAGATTACACCACTGACATTGAACCGTCCAGTCCAGTGGCCACAGAAGTCAACACAACGAATCCGGGGACAAATTAAGTTATAATCAATGAAGATAAAACCACAACCAAAGCACAACCAGAACTAGATGCACTTAAACATTCTGCCATTTTAGCAGCAAACAGGCAAATCCTTTTACAATTCTAAATCAATTACAAACCACCTAAGACAATGTTAATGTTGGCTCTCCCTCAGCACTGACACATCTGGTCCATTTTTAGAAACAATTACCTGATATTATCTCAAGTCTCGTCTCAGAAGTCTGTCCAAATCATGGCAACGCCGTAATGTGAATGTGTGACCAGTTACCAACCATAACCATGTGCAACCCCACAAAACGCTCAGATCAAACCTTCACGATGCAATGCCTTCCCCAGCTCTGACACCTGCAACAGTTTTACCCCCAACATCGTCCAACCGCGGTATCTCGTTAACTCTCTTCAGCCGCTCCACCACCTCCAGAAGCCATGTCCCCGACTCCGACCAGAAGCAGCGTCATTTTGATTTCAGACGATGAAGAGCAAGTCCAGGAGTCTCCCACAGTCAGAGAGAATGGAGACAAAAGGCCGCCCACACCTGACGCTGCAAGTGACCCGACGGCGAAAGAAGCGACGGAAAAACACGCCGAGACTATGAAGGGAGTGTGTTTGAAAACGCCGTATTGTCTGTACATGGATATGGGACAGGAGCTCGCCAAAACCTCGTGCGCGGTTCTCATCGGATACTTTGACTGTTCCTCTGGTGTCAGCGTAGTCCGAAGGCTGAATATGCTGCACATCAACCAATCTGGCAACCAAACCAAACCCACGATCACCACACACACCGCCAACGCAGCCGCCGAGCTCCTGGTTGACCTCCTCAAGGCCGCAGAGCTCCCGTTGGAAAATCTGAGCGTTTTCTACTGCAACATCCCTGACCCGGAGGTGAACTGGAAGATCGCGGCGAAGCTGAAAGAGTCCAACCCGCACCTGGTTTATCTGGGCGGGCTGGCAGGCTTAGTGGGCGGGGCTTGCCAGACGGGGTTCCTGGAGTATTACGGTCACGTGGTGGAGCTGGTGAACGACGTGCACTTTTTTGCTCTGCCCGAGTGGATGGAACGCTCGCAGTACAACCACATGCAACCGATCGCGACGCAGTACGGCGAGATGATCACGGTCATCCAGGCAATGGCGTCCAACTGGCTCAGAATGGAGGAGCATTTCAAAGACGTGGAGCAGAGCGCGGGGCAGAGCCGGCTGCAGAGGATTCACAGCCGGCTCCGAGAGCAGAAGGTGCGGCTGGATTTTGTCTTCCTGTCGACTGCGCTGGGGACCTTCCGGAGTTTCCAGGATCTGCAGGTAAACATGGCGCGCGACATGGTCATGGAGATGCAGATGATGGCGCTGCTCATCAACGTCTGCGCCAAGAGCATTCTCACCGCCGAGGCTGCGGAGCAGTTTGTGGAGAGGCGGGACCTGGACATGCTGCGGAGGGAGAGGCACCTGCTCCCGGCCGCAGAGATCAACGTAGGGCTGAGGGCCAGGAGGTACTTGGCGTCGCTGTCGCAGGTGGAACTCGGAGACGGAGGGAGTGAGTTCCTGTTGAGGGCGCAGCGCTTCTACCAGACCATCCTCACCGTTCTGATGGAGAGTCTGCCGGGGCAGCTCAGCCCGGTGTCCATGAGGAACATCGGGATTCTCCTGATGCATCCGACCGCTCTAAAGGTAAGAGCTGAGGGTTCAGGTTCTTTCAAACCAAATAGACTTTGGTTTTACAGTCTGTTTCACTTGTCCCTAGCTCTAAAAGGGATTGGTTCTACCTGTAGTTTTCACATACATATATTTCTGGCCTGTGTCACATCTTAGATCAGCTTTTTCAGACAGAAAAGTGAAAAAGAGAGGCCCTCCCTCACTCAGCCAATCAGCTCTCAGCCCCATGTGTCAATCAAATAGTGACTCACAGGGCTTTAAGGATAACATGTGTTCTAATGAGGTTAAAGGTCTCAGAATACATTATTAATGAATCCACTGAAATAGGAATTCCAGCTTTAAGGAGGACGTTTCCATTTTTAAAGTATAATCACAACAGAAGCATGATGCATGTTCTCCCTGTGTCTGCAACGTTCCACATATGGTACTGATGCAGCTGAGGTGAGATAGTTATCACTGGTAAACTGTTACCTGCTGTAGAAGGTTCAATGTGTCTAAATATTACTTATTATTTTCATTTAGATGAATCAGAACATGTATTTACTGGTGGCTATTCTCCTGCTGTATTGTATTGAGGCGTGTTCTCTGATCTTCATTTTTGTGTTGGTCTCAGCGTCAGGACCTGCCTCTGGAGCAGGTGGTAGATCTGGGGTCAGAGTTGGGGGTGTGTAGGCTCTCAGCCTCCATCTCTCAGCTCTCCTCAGAATACAGGGACTACGTTGGCAGAGAGTTCCACCGGAGCTTTGAGGCGCCCTCTGTCGGCCTCCGGTGGCTGAAGGTGAAACTACACCTCACATTTATCTTTATTATGGTCCTAACAAAACCTCTAGCTTTAGCATAATAAAGAAGCTAGTATAAAATCTCTATCTTTAGCATAATAAAGAAGCTAGTATATAATCTCTAGCTTTAGCATAATAAAGAAGCTAGTATATAATCTCTAGCTTTAGCATAATAAAGAAGCTAGTATAATATCTCTAGTTTTAGCATAATAAAGAAGCTATTATAAAATCTCTAACTTTAGCATAATAAAGAAGCTAGTATATAATCTCTAGCTTTAGCATAATAAAGAAGCTAGCATAGTAAGACAACAAAGACAAATGCATCAGTTGACTATAGCTCCTGTTGCCGTAGCGATGGTATGACCTGGGTGTTTGGCTCCGCAGGTGTTGGACAGTCTGGGAGGCCACCCCATTTTGTTTAAGCTCATCCTGACACTCTTGGCTTTTCCACGCTCCCTACAACTAAAGCACATCTTTCAGGTCAGTGGTTCATGTGTTTTACTTTCACTATCGAACATGTGCAGTATGTGGGACAGACAGGGCCGTAGAGCACAGACATCTGATGTTACCTCAGTCTTGGTGGCACTCACAGCGTTTTAAAGGCCAATGTTTGTCGCAGTCCGGTGCGAAGGACAACAGTGTACTTGAACCGCAGATTTCGGACCCCAGTCCCTTTTCAGTTTTAGTGAATCAAAATTCCTGACTCACATTAGTTAATATGTTTGTCTGTGCTGCCACGGCACATTATGGGTTAAGTGTCTTGCCCAATGACACAACAACAGTAGACATCATTGGGAGTCGGTGGAGGAGACCAGAGAGAGACTAGAAAGAGACAAGCGAGAGAGAGACCAGAGAGAGACCAGAGAGAGACCAGAGAGAGAGACCAGAGAGAGACCAGAGAGAGACCAGAGAGAGACCAGAGAGAGACTAGAGAGAGAATAGAGAGAGACCAGAAAGAGACTAGAGAGAGACCAGAGAGACCAGAGAGAGAGACCAGAGAGAGACCAGAGAGAGACCAGAGAGAGAGACCAGAGAGAGACCACAGAGAGAGACCACAGAGAGAGACCACAGAGAGACCAGAGAGGGACCAGAGAGAGACCAGAGAGAGACCAGAGAGAGAGACCAGAGAGAGACCAGAGAGAGACTAGAGAGAGAGACCAGAGAGAGACCAGAGAGAGACCAGAGAGAGACCGGAGAGAGACCGGAGAGAGACCAGAGAGAGACCAGAGAGAGACCAGAGAGACCAGAGAGAGAGACCAGAGAGAGACCAGAGAGAGACCAGAGAGAGAGACCAGAGAGAGAGGCCAGAGAGAGACCACAGAGAGAGACCACAGAGAGACCAGAGAGGGACCAGAGAGAGACCAGAGAGAGACCAGAGAGAGACCAGAGAGAGAGACCAGAGAGAGACCAGAGAGAGAGACCAGAGAGAGACCAGAGAGAGACCAGAGAGAGAGACCAGAGAGAGACCAGAGAGAGAGACCAGAGAGAGAGACCAGAGAGAGAGACCAGAGAGAGAGACCAGAGAGAGACCAGAGAGAGAGACCAGAGAGAGACCAGAGAGAGAGAGGCCAGAGAGAGAGACCAGAGAGAGAGGCCAGAGAGAGAGACCAGAGAGAGAGACCAGAGAGAGAGACCAGAGAGAGACCAGAGAGAGACCAGAGAGAGGCCAGAGAGAGAGACCAGAGAGAGACCAGAGAGAGAGACCAGAGAGAGAGACCAGAGAGAGAGACCAGAGAGAGAGACCAGAGAGAGACCAGAGAGAGACCAGAGAGAGGCCAGAGAGAGAGACCAGAGAGAGACCAGAGAGAGAGAGACCAGAGAGAGACCAGAGAGAGACCAGAGAGAGGCCAGAGAGAGAGACCAGAGAGAGACCAGAGAGAGACCAGGGAGAGACCAGAGAGAGGCCAGAGAGAGAGACCAGAGAGAGACCAGAGAGAGACCAGAGAGAGACCAGAGAGAGACCAGGGAGAGACCAGAGAGAGGCCAGAGAGAGAGACCAGAGAGAGACCAGAGAGAGACCAGAGAGAGGCCAGAGAGAGAGACCAGAGAGAGACCAGAGAGAGACCAGAGAGAGAAATTAACTCATGACCTTCAGGCTCAAAGGCCAATGCTCTACCAACTGAGCAACTGTTGCTCAACTCATTGTTAGCGTTTGTGGGAAGTCATTTTTCTCTCTGTCTCTCCTTCTAGTCCCTCTCTGGTCACTCTTTAGTTTCTCTCGGGTCTCTCTTTAGTCTCTCTCTGGTCTCTCTCTTTAGTTTCTCTCTTAAGTCTCTCTCTAGTCTCTCTCTGGTCTCTCTGGTCCCAAATCCTCTTTCCTATCTACTCTCCAATGGCTTCCCATTCTTCTTGACAAAAAGCCTCCAATGTAATTTCCTGGGCTGCCTTGCATGCACTGAACATTTGAGATCTCCCCAGAGCAGCTCGATGATGGTTTGAGTTGAAGATAGAAAACATGGCTTCACACAAACACTAAGAATGTTTTTATAATCATTCATAGTCTGTAAATATGGCCCAATCAGAGTTCACTTTCTACTTTTTAAATCCAGTTCATAAATGAATTGGATTTGAAAGTACGGCACAGACGCCTGTTCCCAGACGTAGTGACATTAAGTGAGGGATCAGTGGATGTTTTTTGCAGCTCTCTGGCAGAAGTGGAGCGCCCCAAACCCCAGTGCACAGGAAAGGAGTGAAGAGGAGATATCGTCCACACAGACCGGAGCCGCACCTCGACTCCTCCTCCTCCTCTGATGAAGAAGACCACCGCAGACCACCCTCAAATCCCCCCAGACCCCCATCACACACCCCCAGACCCCCACCCTTCACCCCTTCATCCCCCTCCGCACAGACCCTGGACTCAGAGGACATCGAAAACACAGATAACTCCTCCGGTGAGTCCTCTCCCCTTCATGTGGCTTCTTTACTACGTGTTCTTGATATGAATCAAAGTATTTGGTTCTTCTATGTGTACTGGGTGCAGCTCTGACTGCCAACCCCCCCCCCCGACCCAGAAATGGATTAAAGGGAAGAAAATGGATGGACGGGTTCTTCTGTACCAGATAGTATTAATACCAGTAATAATAATAATAATAATAATAATAATGCATCCGTTTAATACAGCGCTTTTTTAGGACACTCAAAGTCTCTTCACAACATTATTCTCTCTCTCTAAACACGGTGGTGATAAAC